TCTACCTTGTAATTTCTGGTTATGAACATTTGGCTCTTCATGTTGTATTTCATTTTACGATGAAACATTTTGTTTCTTGAACACAATCTGTAGCATGTCTAGGATTTCCAGGAAGGTGATCTTTCAGACCCATGGGGTCATATTCTGACTTGGTGTTGAACCCTTCACCACCCAGAGCATCTACACAATGTATTGAGCCAAGTAATCTACAGCTTTGTCAGGACTCTCTCACCTCTACTCTATAAAACCTAGTTTGTCACTCATTTACTCTCCTGGTTGCCCAGTTTTGCTTTATCCGTGTCTAGCTTATGTCACACGAAGTGAGGGGACATATAATACATATAAGAGGACTTTATTTCAATTCCAATACTTCAGTTATTCTAGATGTGAGGGCCATACATACATACCTGAATATACACACATACTACTGGTGCAGAAATCCTTACTAAACCCCATCTCTTCTCTTAGCTGTATTTAATAATCTTAATTCTTTGCCTACATGCACAGTCCAAGGAAAGTGATTCATCCTCTGAAGCTAGAATTGTAGGCAATTGTGAGTTGCCCAACACAGGTGCTGGGAATTTAACTCAGGTCCTCTGCAAAAGGCATAACGTTCTTAACCTCTGAGCTATCTCTTTAGTTCATAAATGGTTTTTAGGTCTAATGTTCCCGTCTTCTTGGCCTTTTGGGAGAACTGTTTTTATTCTTGGCTTACAAGGTCTGCTAAGAATCTTAAGAGATGGGGCTAGAGAGATGTTTCAGTGTTTAAAAGCACTTGCTGCTCTTCCAAATGAACCAAATTCAGTTCTCAGCACCTTTGTAAGGCTGCTCACCAACCGCCTGCAACTCTAGCTTCAGAGGATCCAACACCCTCTTCTGTTCTTTGCAGATACCTTTGTAAGGTGTTATCACATATGCAAACTCATAGATAAAAATTAAAATGTTCTTTAAAATGAATCTTAAGGGAGGACTTAACTGTGTTTTTGATAGCCTTGTATTTAAAAGTGCTTGCCATCAGAACCCCTGTCAAATAGTTTTTCAGTTACAAATTCCATGCACTGACAGGTCATATGACAGTAGAGGACAAGCTTCCACTAGAGAGCACTTACTTTTCCTCGTACCCAAATCAAAGCCTTGAGAGAGTAATAATTTTCTTTCTTGTCCAATGTCTTCTCTTAATTCTGTATCACACTGAGGTATAATTACGTTAAACTTTTATATGTGTGAATGGGTCTCTTATCAGGCTCCCAAGTAGCCCCATTTTCTTGAATTCCATATGTTCTGTCATGCCACAATATTTTTAGAGTTAAATAGATTCCTACCATGTGTGAAAGTTATCTTCAGAGCTATGTATGTTCTTAGGATTGCTGTTTTTTATATTATGCAAATTTACATGCTGAACATTTCCATAGTTTTGCTCAGAAACATATTTTAAGATATTTTCTGAAAATTGCTCTACCCAGTACCATTTGTTGCTTTATAGAAGTCATGATGTGTGAACTTTGCCTGGGGAAAATGAACAAATATCTTTTCCCTCCAGTTAGAGCATGGTGAAAGACCAAAGAACCAGTCCTACTCAAGTCTCACTTGGTGAATTAATATGTTTAATAAGAGTTGCTTGCAGGATCATGGGTGAGGATTGTTTACAAGACTATGAGCAACTATGGACTGAAGGCACAATTACCTGGATAAAGAATTAACATGTATTTATTAGGGAAACACTCACACAATGATGGTAAATAACCACATCGGTCTTCCTGCTCCTGAAGATGTAGTCTCTGCCCTTCAGGATGCTCCAACTACAATCCCAGAGAGATCAAACCAGTCCTCTTCCTTAAAAGGGGTCATATCTGCACACCTGAAATCATGCCCTAAGATGCCGCCACCACTCCAAGTCCACTGGCAGAACAAGATGCCACTACAATGGCCAGCTACAACACTGAAGAAAATGTGGTTTTCACACATTGGTCTCTCAATAATGCTTGTTTTTCATTTATTGCTCTCCCTGACATTCACCGGGCCCTAGAAAAGTCCAGTGTCCCTTATGGCTCAGATGAGCCAGGCAGTCAGACACTGACTTTCCCTCATGTTGACTCAGTATGCATCCCTTGTCCTTGGAACTTTGTGTCATTCCCACAGTACTCAGATTTATACCATCCATCCTCATGCTTTTGACCTACAGTATCCTATAAGAGCTTTTAAAATATTTATTTATTTATTTATTTATTTATTTATTTATGTTTTTCGAGTGGCTTTAGAGGCTGTCCTGGAACTAGCTCTTGTAGACCAGGCTGGTCTCCAACTCACAGAGATCCGCCTGCTTCTGTCTCCCAAGTGCTGGGATTAAAGGCGTGCACCACCACTGCCCAGCTAAATTTCCCTTTTAAAGTCTATCCAAATTCAAGCAGTTCAGACACAAATAGTCTCTGATTATCATAGTTTCCAGTACTAGACCATCTGTATCAGGCTGTATCATGGACTCTCCCTTTTTACATTATCTTCTATCATGTCTCCTCCATGCTGTATCATGGACTCTCCCTTTTTACATTATCTTCTATCATGTCTCCTCCTCTTCACTATCCAATTCTTCCCATAGGCTGCTTGTCTTTGGATCACAGGAGGGGAAAATGAGCACAGTTTTAAGTTATGTTCTCTTTCTCTTATATCTCCCAGAAAGAACTATATTTAGCACAGTTTTAAGTTATGTTCTCTTTCTCTTATATCTCCCAGAAAGAACCCATGAAGCCAACATCTCCATCTCATCTTCTCTTTCTTCTGTCAGTTCAGAGGCTACTGTGGAGAGCAGCATCTGCCTGTCTTTTTCTCATCGCAACTCTTCCCTTAAACAGGCAAATTCTTTGTGAGTGCACAGTTCAATCTTGGTTGCATGTATTATTTCCAAGAGCAATGACCACCTAATTGATGCCACAGTCTACATACAATCCCATCTCATATATGCTACTCTCAGGAACTGTAACATCTCCTCTAGTCCACCAGTCATTTGAGAGGCATCCACATATTCACTCCTCATCCTCACAGGGAGTCTTGCCACTCCATACCACATACAAGAAGACAGTTACTCTGGGATTTCCTCCAAGGGAGGAATTTAACTTTTCAGATAAATTGGTTAGTTACATGTCTTCTCATTCATATCAGGGATGGTGCAACTAGTACCGCAGCAAGGACACATGCTATTCTATGCCACATTCTGAAGGATGGCCACATTAGGATTGCCCCATGGCTGCTCCACTCCCAGGAAACTTAGCTTCCACTGTTTGCCTTGTCACTCACAGCAGACAGTGAAAGTGCTCCTCTTAACTCAGCTTTGGTTCTGTCCTGTCCCATGATTGAGCACCAAGGGTTGTATAAACATGTTCATGTCCTGGGAGACATGAACAAATGTCTACTCACTTATTGTGTAGTAGTTTCTTATGAAATCGAGACATCTCATTCTTCAGGGAAGTTCATTTAATAAAGGCAGTAAACAACTCAAATAGGTTTAGGAAGTCCCTGAAACTGACTAGACTCACTAGGCCCTCCCTTACTAAGAGTATATAAGCAGTAAAAGTGGCTAAAAGTCACTCTCAGACAAGCCCAGCCTCCTGGAAGTCACAAAGACCAGGAGAGCCACTAGGAAAAGGATTAGAATAACTGAGCCAACTGAAAAAGACACTCTCCAACCTGTTGAGTGGCCTACAATCTGTGCAATGTGCTCCAGGTTCCCAGAGTTTGTGTTCTGTCATCCATGCTAGGGTGGATTTTAGTGATACACCTCTCTTTGAGTAAGCAACCCCTCATCCATATTCTTGTAAGTAACCCCAAGAAAACTCATTGAACTTTGATATTGGTACTTTAGTCTGTCATCAGTTCCCTATTAGAGGTGAGTAAACATTTGTTTGGATCTACCTAGTAATAGTGTCTCACAACATCATCCCAGATAGGACACCAATGACAGAAACAAAGACATGATCCCATCCAAGTGTAGTGTAGTATCATGAAAACAATTTTCTTCATTCTCTTGCAGGCTTTTTAATGTGTGGTTCTGAAAATAAAAGCCTAGAAAACAAGTTCTAGAACAAACACTTTATTACGTATTTCCTTGGCAGACAATTTAGGTTAAAGCTTAGAATGACACTATCCCCACATTCTCATCTTTGTCTATTGGAACTTGCCTAAGCATCTTGTCCTAGTCAGGGTTTCTATTGTGATTAATTACCATGACCAAAAGTGACTAAGGAAGGACAGGGTTTATTTCAGCTTACATCTTGCAGTCCAGAATAAAGGGAAGTCAGGAAAAGAACTCAAGGTAGGAACCTGTAAGCAGGAACTGAAGCAGAGGTGATGATGGAGACTCTATTTTCTGTCTTGCTCCCCACCACTCAATCTACTTTTTTAAATAGCACCTAGAGACACCATCCCAGAGGTTGCAATGCCCCTAGTGAGCTGGGCCAGCCCACATCAAGCATTAATTAAGACAATGGCCTACAAACTTGCCTCCAGGCAATCTGATGGATGCTTTTTCTCAGTTACAGTTCCTTTCCCTGGATCACTCTAGCTTGTGTCAAGGTGACTGAAAAAATCAACCAGAACACATCTCAAGAGTCTGAAGTCTCAGACAAAGCAGTCATTACACTGCTTGAGATGTGGTAATTGAGAAGGATCATTGGCTTTGTGTTTGGTCCTTTTTCTTTGGCTTAGTATCTGAAGTTCCAAAAGAAAAAATAAGAGTTGAGAACTTAAGAACAAAAGACTGTTACTGCAAAAAAAATTGGGGAAATGATGTGTCAACTGTCCTGTGAGGCTATGCTGGTACAGAAGAGGAACCAACTTCAAGGCTAAGAGGAGACAGGACACAAGATTCATATAGCATGTGCCAACCCTGGAATTTGATGGAGTGACTCACTTGCAATTCCACCACAGCATGAAGATATTTGAATCACATTAAATATCCCTGCAGAGTATAAGGACTTTCAGTCAACAGTCACTAACCTGACAAACCTTTAACAGTGGCAATGGGAAAAGTACCTCTTCTTATATCGCCTAAGAGCATCTTTGATGTCCTTGTTCCTAAGACTGTAAATCAAAGGATTCAACATGGGGATCACAACTGTATAGAAGATTGATGCCATCTTGTCATAACCCTGAGAACCGCCAGAGCTGGGTCGCATGTAGACAAAGAGTCCTGATCCAAAAAAGAGGGTGACTGCTGCCAGGTGAGAGGCACAAGTATTGAAAGCCTTGGCCCTGCCGTCTACTGAGCTTATCTTCATGATGGTGCCAACGATATAACTGTAGGATATAAGGATGATCAAGACAGATGCCACCCCAAAAATCACTGCTATTACAAACTTCAGAACTTGCAGGGGAAAGGTTTCAGAGCAGGAGAGAACTAATAACTGAGGCAGGTCACAAAAGAAGTGGTTGATAACATTCGGCCCACAGAAACGGAGCTGAAGTATAGCACACAGTTGTATCAATGAACCAAAGAGACCAGTAATATAGGCTCCCACCACCATCTGCACACAGAGGGAAGGGGACATGATGGCTGTGTAAAGCAGAGGATTACAAATGGCAGCATAACGGTCATAAGCCATGGCTGCCAGAAGACAGCATTCTGCCAGACCCAGGCTTGAAAAGAAGAAGTACTGCATGGTGCACCCCACAAAGGAGATGGACTTGTGCTTCCTAAAGAATCCTGACAGCATTTTAGGGGTTGTAGAGGAAATGTACCAGAAATCTAAAAATGACAAGTTGCTGAGGAAGAAGTACATAGGTGTGTGTAGGTAAGGGTCAATCCTAATCAAGATGATGAGGCCCAGGTTCCACACCACTGTGGAGAGATAAATTCCCAGGAAGACAACAAAGAGAACCAGCTTGATCTTGGGAAAATCTGAGAATCCCACAAGAATGAACTTGGTGATGGCTGTACTGTTCCTCCCTCCTGTCATCATCTTGGAGCCCCTTAAACCTGCAGATAGATACTTGGATTAAAAATGATTGTTTTAACATTATGGATCTCCCTTCTTTTGAGTCCAGTACTGGATGAAAACTATCCACAATCAAACTAACTTTAACAAAATCAAGATATAAGTATTAGTCTGAAAATTACTAGAAAACCTTCTGCCTACCACTTCAGTTTGAACTACATTCTCACAATTCTTCCTACATATACAAACAGATGTTGCCAAATTCTTGTCCAAATGTTGATACTTATTTACACTGGCATAAAGATTTCATGACAGTGTTTTTTTGTTATTTTCTTGTCAACATTGCATATAATTATTTAGATTCAATCTCTGATAATCTTACACGTAAAATTTATTTCATTGTTTTAAATTTGTATTTACTGCTCCTCCCTTTCTCTACTAGATTTGTGAGTGAGGCTTCCAATCAAATAATACTTCTGCTTCACTGCCTCCCAAACAATTATTTTCCAAGTTTATCATTCATTGCCAACACTAAGTGCGTTCAGTCTTTTAATATATCCATTGATTTTATCTATTCAACTCCATGTGATAATTATGGTCCTTGCTTTGGTGTTACACTGAAAAAATATTTATTTATATAATTCTATAAGATTCTTCTTATTGTATTTTCTTTTAGTTTTATATTTGCATTAATTTTTGGAAAAAAATAACACATTGTATGAAGTATAAGTCTGAGGTTATTTGGATTTTTTTCTAAATTTATTGACACTTCTCCCACTACAATGAATTAAATGATTTGCCTATTTATCAAAATTGCCTCTATAGTAGGATCAATTACATAATCCTTACTTTGTTTAATTTTTAGTGATAGTTCATGTGCCACCTGTTCAGTTCCATGTTGTTTTATAATTACTTCTGATCATTTTTATTAGTAAGGCATTGAGCATTGTAATAACTGGCAAACATCCCTTCATTTTTCAGAGATCACTTTGATAGTTCTTATGTTCATGCCTTCAAAAGATCTGTATAATGAATCCTTCAAAGAAAATAAAATTAGGATCCACACGACTTTCACTTTTCAATAGTCTAAACTGGCAAACATCCCTTCATTTTTCAGAGATCACTTTGATGGTTCTTATGTTCATGCCTTCAAAAGATCTGTATAATGAATCCCTCAAAGAAAATAAAATTAGGATCCACACGACTTTCACTTTTCAATAGTCTAGGGAGGGATAATACATAAAAATTCAGTTGATAAGTAAAGGTATGAAAGGTACTAATTCTTAATAAATATTCATTACTGCTACACTTGATGGAAGGACCTGGGTCTGTGAGACCTGCTCTGGGTTCCAAGGTCTGTCTCTGTGTTACTCTGACACCTCTGGGATTTTGGTTTCTCTGCTTCAAAATGAAATCATTATAGCTCTTCTCTTTGCATTAAAGTGATGTTTCCTGTATAATAACAATAATTGCAGTGGGAAATCATACAGCAAGAACTGTGGTCTGATAGTCTACAGCAATAGTAACATGATTTCATAACAAAAATAGGATAAATTAACACCCTACAGAAAGGAAATTACATTGACCTGTGCCATTCATCAGAGTACATAACATGGACACATCAAGGTCCATGTGCCTATCTTAAAAAACCCTCCAGTAAAGACAGAAATAGTTCAAGTGAATTATTAAAGAATTTTTACTTCAGGAAATTAGGTGACTCATTGAAAATACTATCACTGTGGTGTTTCTGTGGTATGGTTTCTCAAGTTTATTTTCAGGACACATATGCCCTAGAGACCCTGACAATTGAATATTATGTTTAAATTATTAAGAAATGCATTCAGTGGACTTTTTTCTTCCATATGTTTAAGTGAGTAGATCTTTTAAATGAAAACATTAAAAACACAGTTTTTAATCTCCAATGAATGTCTTTCTGTCTTCATATTTAATTGCCTATTCCCTTCCTTTGCCTTCCTTTCTGAGAACAGACTAGAAAGTAACAATGGATTGCTCCTCGAGTGATTTGGAGAACTTATTTAATCTTCCTTCTGCTGTCTCCCAAATGATAATCTTATTGGTGCCTTGCAGATGTTAGATTTCAACAAACACCATTGTATTTGCACAACAGAAAAACATTTTCTGTGACTTCTACATCAAGATTTAACTTGGGTTTTAATATTAAAGAATCAAAAATAAACCATTTAGCTAGTAAAATATTGGATTTTATTTAGAAGATTATGATATTTTATTATATTAAGAGAAAAAGATCACAAGCAAACTAAAGGACAAGCTCTTTGTCCCTTCAACTTAAGTTCCTCAATTCCTTGGCCTGTAATCCTATGAATAATTATTATTGTTGCTGGTTACTTTTTCAGAAGTGTAGGAATGGTATTTCTGTATTGAGTAACTGGCTGTGTGCCTTTTTTGCAAACTCCTAAAAATTACATAATTTTTTTATTTTGATGGTACTCTGAAAACATTGTGTCTGCAATGAATTTCCACAGTAAAAGAAAACTTAGAACAATAAAATTTATCCTTTTTAAAAGATTTATTTTTATTTGTGTGTGTGTGTGTATGTGTGTGAGTATATGTGAATCTTCATGTAGACAGGCCAGAAGATGTTGTGTCACCTAGAGCTGGAGTTTTATGCAGTCGGTAGCCACCTGCTGTGGGTTAGGAAGCAAACTTTGATTTACAAAGCCCTCTTAACTGCCGAGCCCTCTCCGGGTCCCCAAATATGACCTCAGTATGCTCTGTTTATGCCTCACTTGACATCATATCTCTGATACTACATGTGATTAAGCTGATCCATCTAACTGACTCACAGTAGAGTGAAGTAGAATTTATTATGGCATTCCAGAATGTAAATTTCATCTTGGATAAACAACAGGAAATTAAAATAGACAACAGAAAATGAAGTAAAAGTAACAGTGGGAATTAGTGCAGAAACAGCCTGTTTTTCCAAATGCCATTGTGCATTGCTGAGCTATGCATAATTTCTGTGAAGTATGTAACTCAGCAGTTTCATCATCCTGTGAACATTGCTGTGTATTTACAAGGACCTCAGTGGCATGGGTTACTACATAGCTAGACTCTATGCTCTGTGGGGCCATGTGAATAAAACAGCACAAGATTAAGTCAAGCACTAGAGAAGACAATACAGTGTTGGTAAATTCAAGATGTACAAAGCTGCTGCTTGGTTGATGCATACTGCCTGCAGCAAACTGTTCTCTGTAAGTAGAAGAGGACGTGCTAAAATGACAAGACACGACATAGCATAGTCGATACATAACACAGCAGCTTAACTGTTTATCGTTATGCAGTTTATATTCTGCACATTGGCACCGAATACATTGCTGGGTCAGTGGGTTGTTTACCCCAGCATCACCACAGACAAGAGTAATATAGTATGTCGCCTTGTAACATTCCAATGGCTTGTGGCTCTAAGCCATAGGAATTCTTAAATTCCATTATAATATTATGGAATCACCCTTGTACATTCAGTTAGTTGTTTTGCTGACCATCCTTGTGGGTGTCAACTGTATTCATGTTTCTGTAAATTTATGTCATGTCCTATACATAATCATTCCTTGACTTTTTTTTTTTACAAATTATATATAAAATTTTCTCAATTGAGTGTTTTAAAGTGGAGATAAATGTCATGAACTCACAATCTGTGTCATTGATTCTTCTTCCCCTTCTAGACAGCTAGAAATTGGAGGTGATGGAGAGGATTGCCTGAAACACAGGAAAACAAGTAGCTTGCAGCAGTGGCTGGTGACAAAGTGTTTGGTTTTCTAAGAACGATCATTGCTTAAAAAGGAACGGCCAGCACCAAATTAAAGCTTAAAGAGATTTTCCCAAGCATAAGAACAAGAACATGGCTTTGAAGAAGTAAGAACTAAGAGAATACTTAAAGATGTAGGGAGACACTTCTTTTGGGGGTGGGGAATGGGGTCTCACCATGTAGCCCTGGCTGCCTTGAACTCACAGATATCTCCTTCCCTCCGATTCCACCAAGCCTGACATAGAAGACATCTGTTACATCACCTGTTTCCTCACATGGCTGACACTCTGGGCTCTGTGATGAAGGAAGCACACAGAACAAGGTCCTGGAGTGAATAATAAGAATGATCTTATACAGGAAAGCAATAACATCCGTAACTAAAGTGTCAAGCATTTTTTTTTTTCAGTACTGAGGGTCAAGCCCAGGGCTTGCGCATGCACGGTGAATGCTTACTACAGAGCTGCATGTGAGTGAGCTGGACACCTAGAAATTTTTCTTTTTTACTTTTTTTATATTGAAACAGGGCCTCACTAGTTCCCCAGGTTGATCTTGAACTTGAGATCCTCCTGTTTCAGCTTCCTGAGTATCTAACTGAGATTATGGTCTGGTGCCAGTATTATCAAATCAAAACCCTTTCTCTGAGGTACAACTGTATTCGGTGTGATGGCAAATTTATCTTTTACTGATTTAGCTAATTACTGTCTGTTGGGTCCTCATTTTGTGATGGGTAAAATTCCCAACAATTTACATATAGTATCGGATTTGTTTCTACGCAGTTCTATGAACATTGCTTCCTGTGAGTTTTAGATGAAGAAGCTGAGACATTGGGAACCTGAGACACTGGGTGTCTAAGTCACCTCCTATGGTCTCATAGCTGCTGAACAACAGTGGTTAGATCCAGAAACTTCACTATTCTTTCTGCTAGCCCTAGACTTAGCAAATAGAAAATCCAAAAATACTGCACTGATTGCATTCAACTAATTAATTCCTAATCAGTTCAGCTCTTTGTTAACACAGTTTTTAGAAACGATAATGAGCAAAGGGGACAGGGTGATAGTAAAGAATATTATATCAAGGTTTGCAAAAATATTCCTGACTCCATATTTAATTAACTACTGTTGTTTTTTCTCTAGTGAAGGAATATATTTTTCCCAGTAGAAAAGATTCAATCTCTGAGTGTGTCTGAGGCAGGGAAGCAGGGTGTCAGCCTGGGAATAAGAAACTACTGGAATCA